GTCAACGGATATGTCATCTCCGCAAACACAACACCGGGACGACACGTGCACGTCAAGGTCACTCGTACTCGAAATGGCGGCGTGGCAACGGTGCGTCTAGTGCTCTGCGTGCGTGCGTGCGTGCGTGCGTGTGTGTGGTTGTGTGTGGTTGTGTGTGGTTGTGCGTGGTTGTCTGTGTCTGTTGTTGTGTGTGTGTGTGTGTGTGCGTGTGCACGCGTCCTCTCTGCATTCCTCCCTCGCTCCCTTCTTCCGTTCCTTCCTTTGCCCCTTTTCTTCTTTCCAACATTGCAGCTCAATGCGTTCCTTGTCTTCAACACCCTCGTGCAGACGGACCAGAGCTTCCCTGACATGCCAACGCTGGTATCCTTCTACAAGGAGCACACCATCCACAGCGGCATCGCGCTCGGTGTCCCCGTGCAAACACACTAACCGTAACAAGCAGCAACCATAACAAACTATCACCTTCTGTCGTCTGTTGCTGTCTAGTGTCTGTTGCTGTCTGTCTGTTGTTGTTGTTGTTGTTGTTGTTGTTGTTGTTGTTGTTGTTGTTGTTGTTGTTGTTGTTGTTGTTGTTGTTGTTGTTGTTGTTGTTGTTGTTGTTGTTGTTGTTGTTGTTGTTGTTGTTGTTGTTGTTGTTGTTGTTGTCGTCGTCGTCGTCCTCATCGTCTCCTTTTGTTCTTTGTCTTGTCTTGTGGCTTGCGTATGTCTTCGCACACAAAGCAGCGCACAACCCCTTCCCTGCGTTGCTTGTGCCTGCGAGCGAGGGTGCGCCTGTTCTCTCTCTCTCTCTTTTGTGTTATTGCGTTCCACCGTGTGTGTGCTTGCTCGCTTTCACGTCTTCATTCGTTGTCGATACTCTCCCGTGCTTAATGGCTGTACGAATTCATAGCAGCGGGGAAGAGGGGGATGGAAGGAAGAAGGCGTGTGCGTGTGTGTGTGTGTGTGCGCGCGTGTGTGTGCATGTGTGTACGCGTGTGCGTGTGTGCGTGTGTGCGTGTGTGCGTGTGTGCGTGAATGCTGTCCAAACACACACACACAGACACACACACACGCACACACACACACACACAGACACACACACACACACACACACAAGCTAAATTGTGCGGGAAGTTTAATTTTCCGCACACACACGCGACCACAAGCGTCAAGATGGCGGAACGACTGCGCGTGAAGGTGCAGTGCGGCGACCACCGCATCCTGGTACGTTCGCTGCCTCTCTCGCTCGGTCTCGCTCTCACCCCGCTCCTGTGCATTGTGGATACTGCACTGTTGCCAGCACTGTTGCCACCATTGTTGCTGCCCGAAGTTGCTCCGTCTGACCGCACACACACACGCACGCACGGCCACGTGGACAGGTGGCGGTCGACAGCACCAGCCAGTGTGTTGACCTGCAACAGACGATCATGGATTGGTTCAAGGACAACATGAACAGGTGTGTGTGTGTGTGTGTGTGTGTGTGTGTGTGTGTGTGTGTGTGTGTGTGTGTGTGTGTGTGTGTGTGTGTGTGTGTGTGTGTGTGTGTGTGTGTGTGTGTGTGTGTGTGTGTGTGTGTGTGTGTGTGTGTGTGTAAACGTGAGCTTGCAGTCCACGCACGCATGTGCTGGGCCACCAGCCGTTCCGCTCCAACATCTACTGGCGAGCTGTCCGCACTCGTAGACGCTCAACGCACGTGCTTGCTTGCACTCACTCGCTTGTTCGCACTCGCTCACGCATGCACGTGCTGTTTGTGTTGCTTTCGACGCCTGGGATGCAGAGACTTGGAAGTCGTTGGCATCACAACAAGTGACGGGTTCATGGTCGGCAACGGCATGCGCGTAGGCGACGCCCTGCGCGATGGCGACGTCATCACGGCCATCCTGTGAGTCCCAGCACACATGTGCTCGCATGCTCATTGCACGCAAACGCTTTAATCGTGCTCGCGAGCGCATTGACACCCTTCACACACACACACGCATCCACATACACACATACACACGCACGTTAACTGACTGTGTCCTTCCTGATGTACCTGTGGGGGTATTTCGTGTCTTGCTGCAAATAGGAGTCGAGCTTCTCGCAATGTCAGCATGGAACTGCACGAGGACATGCTGGCATCCCCGGCTCCGAAGCGTGCCAAGCTCTCTGATGAGGTGCGCATGCGCTTTTGATATGGCGGACACTTTGCTACTGCACACACCATTGGAGCGGCACCACACTGCCATAATGTGCGTCTCTCTCTCTCTCTCGCGACCTCCGTTGTTTTGAGCCCACACACATACACACACACACACACACACACACACACACACACACACACCACAGGCGGGCAATCCACTCAATGCCTTGTTTGAAGTGCTGCGTGACAGTCTCTCCAAGTCCAGTGGCTCATTCCCTGCTAGCGGTGCCAGCAACGGCAATAACAATGACAGCATGGTCTCCACCATCGCCTCTGCTTCAATGCTCGCTGACACGCGCGCGGAGCTGCCTGCAACTTCCACTCCAGCACCGCAAGCAACATCCAAGCGTACACCCTCAACCACCGCAGCCAGCGGCAACACCACCATCACCGACACCACCAACGCGGGCGTTGCACCATCCGCCGCAACCGCTCGCGACCACGCCCCCTTTACATCCACTCCGCTTGCATCCTCCCCCGCAGCCAGCGCCAGCCCCCAGCGCACTGCCACAGCCGCAAACGGGGTGAAGAAGGCCGTGCTGAGCACCACCACGTCCAAGAAGGCGGCAGCAACAACAAGTGCAACAACAGCAACAAAAGCAGCTGCGGCCAAGACGGTGTCGATTACAGCCAGCAGCACCAGCAGCACCAGCAGCGCCAGCAGCGCCAGCAGCACCGCCACATCGACCACGGTGCCAGGCACATCCGCCTCAAGCGCCGTTGCAAAGGGCCGCAGCAGGAGCAGCAAGGAGGGGAATGTGGACAGGAAGGAGGAAGACGCGCTGAAGAGCCGCGTGCTGGCACACAGCGACCGCGAGAGCACACGGCTGGCAGGGAAGGCACGCAAGGAGAAGGCGCAGCACAAGACAAAGACTATCACGACCGCCGATGCGACAGCAACAACACCAGCAACAACACCAGCCACAAAAAAAGCAGTAACAGCGCCAGCAGCAGCAACAACAAAAACAGCAACCCCAGCAACAGAGCAGCAGCAGAAGAAGCAAGAGGAGAAGGAGAAGGAGAGGAAGAAAGCCATGCAGGAGAAGGTTGCCAAGGCGGCGGAAGCACAGCGACGCAAGCAGCTCACGGACATGGAACGCGCAACAACAGGGGCCGCGGCAGCACTCAGGCTCACACAGGCGAAGCGTGGCCATGCAAAACCCACGACACCAGCCACTTCCACCACGGCAGAAGCACCGTCGACAGGTGCGCCCGCATCCGCGGCATCTCCTTCAGCTCCTGCTGCAAAGCGCAGCAAGACGACCAGCAGCGCGTCGCCCGCCGCTGCTGTCACGACTTCGGCAACAGCGACAGATGGAGACGCAAAGGGTGGTACCGAAAAGGTCACAGCTGCAGCAGCGGCGCACAAGAAGGACGACAAGGTGGACAAGGCAAGCAAAGGTGCCAGTAAGGCGGGCACGAGCACAGCAACTGCAGCAAGCACAGCCGCACCGGCCAAGGACAAGGCGACCGAGAAGACAGCTGGGGCCAACGGCAAAGGTGACAAGGTCGACAAGACGGCTGAGAAAGCCGCCGCAGCATCGACTCCGGCCAAGGACACACCCAAGACAAAGGCGAGCACTGCCGCTTCCACCACTCCCAAGACCGCCGCCGCTTCTGCTGCTGCGGCAACGAAGAAGAAGCAGCAGCAGCAGCAGTTGAGGAAGGGAAAGGGTGAGGAACAGTCCAGCAACAGCGGAAGTGAGAGCGAAAGTGGCAGCGGAAGTGAGAGCGGAAGTGAGAGCGAAAGCGGCAGTGGCTCGTCTAGTGGCAGCGACAGTGGTTCAAGCAGTGGCAGTGACAGCGACAGTGGCAGCAGTGCCGACAGTGATGCCGAGGAGAAAACAACCAAGCAGCAGAGGCAGAAGCTGACGAAGAAGAAGTCTGCTGCCCAGACCACCACGAGCAAGGCGGCTGCCACCACTGCAACGACGCCAGCAAGCAAGAGTATTAAGGCCGCAGCGCCAAGTAAGGCAGCCGAGGCGACGTCAACAACCAGCAAGGCGGCAGAAGCAAGCAAGGCTACAGCAAGCAAGGCGACAGCAGCAAGCAAGGCGGCAGAAGCAGAGGAGGTGTCCACGTCCACCTCCACGAGTGCAGCGGCGACCCCAAGCAAGGCTGCGCGCGGGCGCACGCTTGGAGTGGGCAAGATGCGCGTTGGGCGGACGTCAGCTGCTGGTGGTGAGACGAAGAGCACGACGGAGAAGACCCAAGCAGAGGAGCTGTCAGAGAAAACAAACAAGGCGGAGGAGAAGAAGGACAAGAAGGCGGGGGAGGAGGAGAAGCAAGAGAAGCAAGAGGCGAGGGGAAAAGAGAAGGGGAAGGAAAAGGAAAACGAAAAGGAGGAAGACAAGGAAGAGAAGAAGGACAAGGAAAAGGAAAAGGAGGAACAGAAGGAAGAGAAGAAGGAGGTTCAGAAGCAGAAGCAGGCGAAGGACATGGCCGAAGACGGGGAGAAGAAGAGCAAGGCTGGGGAAAAGACCAAAGCAGCAGCAGCAGCAGCCATCAGCACTACCGAGGCCGACAAGAAGGGGGCGGCGACAACAACTGCTGCAAAGTCCACCAAGAAAGACAAGGCCGCAAGCGAGGATGCCGGACAAGCGGATGGCGATGGCGACGAAGGCGACAGTGAGGGCAGCGAGGACACTGGCGTTCTGACCCAGGCACCAGCCTCAACCAAGAAAACAGTCACCACACCAAAGCGTGTCACCCGCAGCAGCGCAAGGCGGCAAAAGGCGCAGGACAAGGCCAGTGCCAAGAAGAGCGCCAAGACGACAGCAGCAGCAGCAAATGTTGCGGGCAGCGGGAAGGCAGACAAGGCAGACGATGGTGCTGACAGCGGTGATGCTGAAGAGGAATCGTCCTCGCCCGCTGAGAGGGCTGCTGACGAGGCGAAGAAGGGCGGCTCGAGCACCCCGCTGCAAGGCGACAAGCAGAAGAAGGAGGAGAAGGAGGAGAAGGAGGAGAAGGAGGAGAAGGAGGAGAAGGAGGAGAAGGAGGATGACAACGAGGGGAAGAAGGAGAAGGATAAGGTGTCGGTTGCAAAGAAGAGCAAAGGTGGCAAGAAAGCAGAGGAGTCAACAACCATGGATACAGCTGCTGATTCCGAGCAGGAGGAAGAGGAGGAAGAAGAAGAGCAAGAAGAGCAAGAAGGAGCCCGCCAAAGCACAGCCGCTTCCCGGTCGAAGGAGCGCGCTGGGAAATCCACTAGTGCCGCGGGTGCTGCTGGTGACGGCGATGATGGCGATGATGTCGAGGGCGAGGGTGACGAGGAGAAGCAGGAGTCGAGCAAGTCCATCCACAGCGTGGTTGCCATGGAGGACAGCGAGGCCGAGGATGACGAGGACAACGAGGCGGACGAGGGCAAGCAGCCGCAGCAGGAGACAATGGACCTGTTTGGGGACAGCGGTGCTCGAGATGGCGACAGCAGCAGCCCCGTCATTGATGATGGCGATGATGACGAGATTGCTCGCTTCGGCACGGACTCGGACTCGGAGGGCTCTGGCCAGCGCACAAAGCGAGACGAGGATGCCGACGAAGATGACGAGGAGGATGAGCAGCAAGAGATGGACCAGGAGAAGGACGAAGATGGCGAGGAGGAGGAGAAAGGCAAAGAGGAGAACGAGAAGGACGCAGACGAAGGCAAAGAGAAGGCGGCAGGGCAGCAGCTGCGAAAACAGCGCGCGAAGAAGCCACAAGAGGGCAAGACCAGCGGCAAGGCAAAGGCGAAGACTGCTGCCGCTACTTCTGCTACTTCTGCTACTGCTACTGCTGCGGCGACGAAGCTTACCACACCGTCGAAAGACAAATCGAGCAAGAAAGCTGGTGCGACATCCTCATCTTCCAAGGCGGCTGAGCGGCCCAAGCCTTCCGCTGCTGCTGCTGCTGCTGGTGGTGGCGGTAGCGGCGGCAGCAGCAAGAAGACAAAGGACACGGGAAGAAGAGGTCGAAAGCGCGCAGACGACGCAGACAGCGGGGCGTCGAGCGACGAAGCCGTTGAGGACAGCGAGGGGGGAGAAGGGCCGGAGAGCCCAGACCTACTGATGGGCCGGTTCTCGCAGTCCCTGCCCATGACTTCGACTGGTGGTGTTGATGCGGATGCTGATGGCGATGCTGACAATGTTGATGAGCAGGGCGAGAAGGGCAAGGGTGCTGGCACGAAGACCGCCGCAGCGCCAGCAGCCAAGACGCCTGCGAAGAAGAAAGCAGCTGCGGAGCCCAAAGCGGCAAAAGCGACGAGCAAGAAGGCGGCAGCGCCCGGAAGAGAGGCGGTGATGGCGACGGGCGCGGACACGCCGGGGGATGACGGGTCAGTGAAGAGGAAGAAGCGGATTGTGCGTCGAATCGTTCGTCGCAAGGGTGCTGCTGGCCAGGAGGAGGGCAAGGGCGAGGGTGCCGGGGCGGACGCCACGACGACCACCACCAGGGTGGAGATTGTGACTGATCCTGTGACTGGGAAGAAGACAAGGAAACGTGTGGTGGTGCGCAGGGTGAAGAAGGGAGCGGTGGGCGCGACCGGTGGTGGTGCGGATTCCGAGGCCAGCAGCGAGGTTGACACGCCATCCTCCGGCAAGAAGAAGCGCAAGGTGGTGGTTCGTCGTGTTGTGAAGAAGAAAAAGGCGCCCGCCACTTCCGAGTAGTTAGTTGCCTTGTGTGTGTGTGTGTATGTGTGTGTGTGTGTGTGTGTGTGTGTGTGTGTGTGTGTGTGTGTGTGTGTGTGTTGTTGTTGTGTGTGTGTGCATCACCGCTCGCAACGCCGTCCGCCACCTTGTGTTTACCTGTATAGCCTTAAATCCTGGGGAGAACAATCACAAAAGCCCAGCACTCACTTTACAAGAACCATCCTGTCTCCCGGGCTTTTGGTTGTCGTTTAGCCCTAGGCAAAGGCCCAAGTGTGTGTGTGTGTGTGTGTGTGTACTTGTGTGTGTGTGTGTGTGTACTTGTGTGTGTGTGTGTGTACTTGTGTGTGTGTGCGTGTACTTGTGTGTGTGTGTGTGTACTTGTGTGTGTGTTTTTCCACATGTTGTTCTGTGCTTGCTTGTTTTTGTGTTTGTGCATTTCGTCCGTGTTTGTTGTTTTGCTTCTGTTTGGTGCCTTTAGTTTAGAGAGTGACGGCGTTGCCACGGGTCTTGAGTACACCTTCGTCCGCGCATGCAAATGCATTATATGGATGCGATGGAGTGTGCGCCAACCAACCAGTGCACCACAGCCACAGTTCAACTGCTACTGCAGTTTGTGCTGTTGTTTTATGCTCCAAAACATGTTGAGCTGAAAAATCAGCGGAGCGAAAAGAATGTGGGTTTTCTGCGAAGAATTAGGGGCGAAGACGACGTTTGTCACACACACACACACACACACACACACACACACATTTGTGGGAAGAAACCAAGAGGGCAACAAGGTGCAGCAGCGTGGGGACTGTCTGGGTGGTTGTGCGATTGGACGGTGCGCGAGTGTGTGTGTGACGTGAAGAGCGTGGCTGGTGGCTGGTGCAGAGGAAGCAACAAGGAGAAGCAAGCAAGCAAGAAAGGAAGAGCCAAGTGCAGTTGTGAGCGGCAAGCAAGCAAGCGACAAGGAGCGAAAAATGGACTACACAGGCCGATCCCAGGGTGGTGGCTACTATGGCCGTCCCCAGTACCAAGGTCCCCCTGGCCATCACCCGCACGCGCACCCTCATGCGCGCCATCAGGTGCCCCACGGCGGCTACCCCAGTAAGTTTTTTTGTTTTTGTTTTTTGTGACCAACCAACCCAGCCAGCTCATGGCGTGAGATAGGCTGTTGCCGCGCGCGCGCGCGTGTGTGTGTGTGTGCGTGCGTGCTGAGCCAAAGTGCGTGCACAGCTTGCTGCACTCAGCCAGCACCACTGAAAAGAGTGTGTTCTTTGTGGCTGGTTGTTGTGGATGGCTGTGTGTGTGTTTTGCTGTATGGGTGTTTGATAGATCGGCCTGGGCTGTGTGCAACGACCCCACCCTGCTGTCTTTTTCACATATGGCACACTTTGACCTCCCTTGCCCCTCTCTTCCTCTCCTGCTTGCCTTGCCTCGCTTTGCCTTGCCTTGCTTGCCTGCCCTGATGTTGTGTGCCACGTGCACCCACGTGCATCCCCACCTTGTGTGTTTGTCTTCCCACCACACCACCACACCACACCATGTGATGTTGCGTGGTGATGGGGTGTAGTGCGCCCAAGACGAGGTGGTGGTGATATTTGGAGGGGATGTTGGGGGGTTTGGGCTGGGACTGATGTTGTGTGCGGTGTATCGTGTGTGAGATGTATCGTGTGTGTGTGTGTGTGTGTGTGTGTGTGTGTGTGATGTATCGTGTGTGTGTGTGTGTGCAGGTGTGTGTGTGCAGGTGTGTGTGTGTGTGTGTGCAGGGTCTGATGTGCACGAGTTTGCGAGATGCTCTTCGCCCAAGATACTGACCCTCTCTTCCATTCTCTTCCATTCTTTGACCCACCCCCCCCCCTCTCTCTCTCTCTCTCACACCGCGCTCTCCCCCACACTGCCTCACCCAAGTGCCACATGGCGGTCCTCGTCCCGTGCGCCAGAACCAGCCGTGCGTTGACACCTTTGCTTGCGTACTTTTGTATTGACGTGGAACATGGGCGCCCGCTGTGGTTGGTCAGCGTCAGCGAACCGCCTTGCTTACACGTGCTGCTCGTTGATGCATCAGGGGCACGAGCGTGTACGTTGGCAACCTGTCCTGGTCCACGACCTGGCCTCGCCTGAAGGAGTTCATGAGCGAGATTGGCCACGTGGCCTTTGCCGATGTCCTGCGTGACATGAACGGCCGCTCCAAGGGCTGCGGCATTGTCGTCTTTGGTGACGTCGAGACTGCCAACCGCGGTGCGTGTTCATGCATGGCATGCATGCGCTGTGTTGTGTTTTGATGACGGAGGCGGTGGTGTTGGTGACGCTTTTGTCTCTGCTGCTACTGCGCAGCTGTTACAGTTGTTGCTGTTGTTGCTGTTGTTGTTGCTGTTGATATTGTTGATATTGAACGCTGCGTGTGTCATGGGCGCGTCGGGATTTCGCAAGGCCCCACACCACAGCATGTCATACTCATGTACATCCCTTGTTGTGCTTGTTTGTGAACATGCGTTGAAACAGCCATTGCCGAGATGTCTGGCCGCGAGCTTGATGGCCGCCAGATCATGGTCCGCGAGGACCGTGAGGCCCACCGCTTTCCCCGCCGGTCCGTGCGCGCGCGCGCGTGTGTGTGTTTCTGCTGTGTTCACGTGATGAGCTTGCGTTGTGTGGTTGTTTGTGTTCATGTGATGAGCTTGCGTTGTGTGCGTGTGTGTGTTCATGTGATGAGCTTGCGTTGTGTGCGCACGTGCTTTTGTGCTGTATTCACGTGATGTGATTTGCTTGCGTTCCTTTGTATGCTGTGCACGCTGTGTTTGCCTGACGTTATTTGTCTGCTGATCATGTTTGGCGACGTTGATCCCGTTTGACAATCTCTGCCATGTCCCCTCACCGCCTACTCGGCTCTACTCTGCACTGCTCCGCTGCTCCGCTTCTTCAGGTCTGCCCGCCCGCCTGCGCCCATGCACCGCCCGTCCACCAACTACACCGCCACCTTTTCTGGAGAGATGTAAGAAGTTCTGGATTTGCGCTGCTGGTGGGGGTGGAATCAGAGTCTGCTTCACCATGGCAACTCCCGCCCGCGTCTTTTGTTACATCATTGCTGCTGAATCTCAGAACGACGATGCACCCGCCTTTTCACTGCACTCGTTCCCCCGACTCCCATGCTGTGTGTGCGAACAAGACACAAGTCATACCCCTGATGTCTCACAACACACCATCACGCAACCGTTGCTCGCGCGTGCAGGGGTTCGACGGTGTACGTTGGCGGCCTGCCGTACTCCATGACGTGGCAGCACCTCAAGGACCTGATGCGCAAGGCCGGTCCTGTTGAGCACGTTGAGGTCATGTACGACGGCAACGGCATGTCCAAGGGTTGCGGTCTCGTCCGCTTCGCCACCGCCGAGGACGCCCAGAACGGTTCGTCAGAGAGAGAGATATAGAGTCTGTGTGTGTGTGTGTGTGTTTGTTTGTTTGTTTGTTTGTGTCGGGGTGTGTTTGTTTGTGTGTTTGTGTGTGTGTGTGTGTCTGTCTGTCTGTCTCTCTGTCTGCCTGCCTGTCTGTCTGTCTGTCTCTCTATGTCTCTCTGTCTCTATGTCTCTCTGTCTCTCTCTGTCTCTCTGTCTCTGTCTCTGTCTCTCCCTCTCTCTCTCTCTTCTCTCTCTCTCTCTCTCTCTCTCTCTCTCTCTCTCTCTCTGTCTCTGTCTCTCTCTCTCTCTCTGTCTCTCTCTCTCTCTTTTTGTCTCTGTTTTTTTCTCTAAGTCTCTCTCTCTCTCTGTGAGTGCCCCTTTTGCTTGCTCTCTCTCCCTCCCACCC